TCACGTTCCGATAATCTATTCTCACAGTAATCGTAACGCATGTCCTCGTTTGCATGGACCCAGTGTCTCGATTGTCGCAACATGTCAGCCGACGTGATGTCGCTGCGGCTCTGCTTTCTTTGAATGTGCCGTCGCCGGCTTCGCTCCGCCTCTGCCCCCGCGTCTCGCTTCCCCGCTTATCCCGCACGCGGCGCGGGCGACGCAGCGGTTGCATCCACCCCTATTCCTCGTCATATCGTGTCATCCTTACAGTTTACCATACCGTTACAAGCAATAGTGGTCGCTAATGACTAGAGTGCTGACAACCAAAACCAAAATAGTCGGTAAAGAATAAAAATATTTTTTTTGTTAATTATATGAGTAAATAGTGGCCACAAAGAGCAAATATTTTGTTGCACTACCTAAAAAGGTTTCAGTACTTCCGTCTTATCCAGATAAATCATGTAAAAGCCTGCTTTGTTCCAGATAGTCATGACAAGAGGCGTGCAAGGCGGTGCCAATGATCGGGAAACTATGGCCGCAGTGTCTCGTTGCGTTGCGTTTCCTCTTTCCTCATTCGGCGACTGGAGGCGGAATTACTGCAGCCGCACCCACCTCCCCCCCCGGCGTATCTGTCACCCCCCCCCCACACAGCCCTTTCCACTGTAGCCGCCGGGTCGTTTCTTCGACGATCTGTAAAACCGGTTGACTTCATGTCATTCGGAAATCGGCGAAACGGTACTTATATGGCAATTTCAGAGTTCACGCATTTCTTACAGTACAGCTCGTATGTTGAACACCGGCATTCAAACTGTGCTCACTTCCTTCGATTCTTTATTTCAATAACACGCTTTTAATTTCGTTTGACTTGCTTCAGTGCTGTAACTTAAGCCTTCGCAACCCCACTGATCTGACGTTCCCATGGCTGAAAACCTAAATTAAAGTAACTCTTACGTATTACGTACCCGTAGATTGAGAATAAACTTTTTGTTATTTTAGATACGCAAGAAGTACCAATTATAGTGTAATACAAAGAAATGCCTGTCAAAGCATACTGTTACTGAAATACGGAGAAATAGAATAATCAAACTTAAGAATTAGGTATGCAAAAGGCAAAGACCCGAACGTAAAGAACAGCAACACACAACTAGTGACTTTGCTTCAGAATTATTAGTGAATTTAGCACATCCAACGCCGGTCATTCTGGAAAGGTGATTTATTTTTCAAACAATTGAGAGTTTCATTCATGATCACGACCCTATATGCACTGTTGATATATGGTCGTTTCTTTTTACCACTCAATGTCCTCTCCAGTGGACATTGAGAGATACTAAAGAGTGAAATCTGCTGCTCAATATTACTCGTTACTTTTTTACTGCATGGGAGCAAATATTTCTTGTTATCAAGTTATTCAAGGCATTCGATTTGGCATTTAGTCATATTACTAAATGTAGCGATTGATGGTCTGTAAGAGCCTTAGCGGAATCCAGATCTCAAGAAACCGTAGCTTTTCTCTCGCTACCGTCACCACGCAGGTTGTAAACTGTTTTCGACGTTGAAATAGATGAGAATAAAAATAAAAACCGTCGAGCTTTGGATGAGCACTTTGGTGGTAGAGTCTGATGGCGGACTGTGCAGTTCCTCGGGATCGTGCCACGGGGGGGGGGGCGTGGTGCGCGGGGCGCGGCCGCGGGCTGCCACGCGCCTCCGCCTCCCGCGCGCCCGCAGGGTCGCCTGGCGGCGCGGCGGCCGCACCCCGCGCACTCGGCTCTGGGGGCGAACGGCCTTCCCGTCGGCGCAGTTGCAAAGGCGCGCCCCACCCTGCCTGCCCCTCCCCGCCACTCCACGCACGCCACGCACGGCCCACCACGCCATGCCGCCACGGGCCATGCCCGCCACGCCCATGCCCGCCACGCCATTGCCCGCCACGGCCATGCCCGGCCACGGCCATTGCCCCCACGCCATGCCCGCCTCGCCATGCCCGCCACGCCATGCCCGCCACGCCAGCCCGCCACGCCATGCCCCGCCACGCCATATGCCCGCCACGCCATGCCCGCCACGCCATTAATGCCCGCCACGCCATGCCCCCACGCCATGCCCGCCACGCCATGCCCCAACGCCATGCCCGCCACGCCACGCCCGCCACCCCACGGCCCGCCACGCCACGCCTCGTTGTGCCCCCGCCACGCCCCTCCCCCGCCACCGCCAGCCTCGCAGCGTCCACGTGACCCCACTGACCTCCTTTGCTCCTCGCCCCATCGCGTTCTCCTCGCGATCCAATTCGCTTCGTCAGGCTTGTCTTTCCAGTGCATAGCCCCGATCTTCCACACTGCTGCCTGCCATGTTTACGTCCATCTTCTCTTAAACCTACCATGCCCCATTGCTTCCTCTCTTGTCTGCGTAGCCCGTGTCCCGTCCCATTCTCTTCACATTTCTCCTGTCGCTGACTTGTCGGCGGTCTCGTCCCTCTTGTTCTGAGCTGTTCTCGTCTACATCTGTCCTTGGCCTGCCTCGTTCTCTCTCTCTCTTTTTGGATCTCCAAATGTCCTGTTCTCTCACTCTTGTTCTGACCTCTTGTTCCTAGACCTCTTGTCTCTAGTTTTCTCGTCCGCTCTTCTGCCCCGTTAATGCTCTTCCCTCCTATCTTAATCCTGCTCAGCAAACACCTTCTTTTCTCGCTCTTCTTTCCCGCCTGATCAGACTCGTCTTGCCCGGTTTCGTCCAGCGCCGGCGCGTTATCACCCGCCCCGCCCCGCTTCGCCCCGCCCGCTTCGCCCCGCCGCTTCGCCCCGCCCCGCCCCGCCCGCCGCCGCCCGCCCCGCCCCGCCCCGCCCGCCCGCCCCGCCCGCCCCCCCGCCCCGCCCGCCCCGCCGCCCCGGCCCGCCCACGCCCCCCCCGCCCGCCCCGCCCGCCCCCGGCCCGCCCCGCCCGCCCGACCCGCCCCGCCCGCCCCACCGCAACCCGCCCGCCCTGCCCGCCCCGCCTGCCCCCGCCCCGCCCCGCCCCGCCCCGTCCCGTCCCAACCTGCCCCGTTCCCGTCCACCCTGCCCCGTCCCGCCCCGCCCCGCCCCGCCCCGCCCCGCCCCGCCCCGCCCCGCCCTGCCCCGCTCCGGCCCCTGCCACGCCCCGCCCCGCCCGCCCCGCCCCGCCCGGCCCCGGCCCTGCCCGACACCGCCAATTCAGTTGCGTCCCAGCTGACCGGTCTTTCCGCCGTGCTCCGACCGGCGGGCATTGTCACGGTTAATAACGAGCTCGTGGGGTATTTTCCGCGTTGCGCGAAACTGGGAAGAAAAACACTCGCCTAGACGCCTACTCGCTTTTTTGCTCGCTACGTGAAAGAAACACAATTTACGACATTCAAACGACTATCGGTTTCCACACTTAGATTTTCGAGCAATTCATGTGCACTGTCCTTTAAGACATAAATACCTTGTTACCGTTCGCGTTTTGAAAAATTATCACTTCTACGTGCATTGTTTCGAAGGACTTCGTAACTTGGAAAATTCACCTTTATTCACTAATACATTTGTTTTCAATTAAGCAAAAGAATTCTGATATGATTTATCTTGAGTACTATATGGATGTTTGATGTGAGGGAAATTTTGTGGAACTGATCAAAAAAATATTCTAAAATTATATCTGCTTGGAAATTTTTGCATTTTGATCTCCCAATATATTAGAGATTCTCAACACGTCATGATTTTTTCAAGGTTGACCTTTTATTCTCGTGGACGTTTTCATCTACAGAACCTGACGGAGTTCTAATGGATCTGTTTGTTGACGACGCTTTCGAAACAACTTGCTGTGGGTCAAGTAAGTCCTGTCAGTGTAGAGCCTCGTTGTTGCCTATTGATCTGCAGAATTAAAGGATGTTTAGGGCGTTGATGTTTTTTAAGCCGAAACAACTTTATTTATAAACGTCTGACCTAAAAAAGGAGGAAACCCTGAGTCTTGGTTATTATACCTTCTGTAATATCGTTGCAGGTTTCCTTGCCACCCTGTTTTTGTTGTCGCGGTAGAGAACGTTCACGTCTTTATAATCACGAACAGTACTAAAATATCAAAATCAAGTTCGTGTATAAGGTCATTCGCCAAAATGTAGTGCTTATATCAGCCCCGATCCACTTCCGGAAATTTCATAGTTAGAACGCACTGCTCCAAAAGTGTGGTTCGTACGGTTACTATGAGTATTATAGATTTTTTGCCAGAATTTATTTAAAATTGAAAATCTATAAACTGATTTGGTATATGAACAATAACTTCGATATCAGTATCTGAAATTATTAAGGAGAGTGAAAGCTCTTGCGAGGCAGAAACGAGTCTGTTTTCTTCCTTCCACTTTCCTTTGGTGATGTCATTCACAATGTAAAGGGGAAATGATGATGAGGGGCAAATGTGGTGTGACGATCCTGGTAACAAATTGAAGACGCGGTATGATGAGAAGCCAATGTAGCCAGAAAAACAAAAAACGAAAACGCCCATGCCTTAACAGTGACTTGAATCTCCAGACTTGGCTTCGCATATGTCGCGTAAGTCCCCGCGCTACGAGTGGGTAACCTAGATATAAAAAATCTCTTATAAACACGATAAAAGCTTCTGAAGCTTCTTGGCTATCTGAAATTGTAATAGCATGCAAGTATTGGCGGAGTTTGCTGATTTTTGAAGCAATTGCGTGTGCATAGTCCGAATTTAAAACATGGATCGTGGACTGACCTTTGATCACTGATATACTATCCAACTCGGTTGAACAGTACGGCCTAAGTTTGAAATTGAATCTCCCTATTGCGATTTGACTGCTACCATAATTCGATATATTAACAGTATACCTTTTGACAGAACATTGCAGCTGTTACGGTGTTATCCCATCGGAGCCTTAACGTCGAGTACTGTATGGTTGTCATCAAGCTCCCAATTGGATGACACCGTAACAGCTGGTTACGTCAACAGACTCTTACCTTGAAATTGCAGTATAGCTGACGGGAGAGGCGTCAATTTCAGACTCGTTGTTTTAAAACCGCGCAATGGCGCTAGGCCAGCGCGAGGGGCATAGAGCCGCATTATGGTGCAGCGCCGCGGCCGCGCCGCGAGGATTAGTGCTGGCCGCCCTTGGCGGCGCTGGAAGCAGCCGAGCGTGGGCGGGCGGGTTCCTCCGCTCACCACCCGGACACGCTCCCCGCCCCGCCCCTCCCTTGCCCCCGCCGCGAGCGCGCGGGAGGAGCGGCTCCGCTTTCTTCCCCCGCGTAGGGCTCTTTCGCCACTTCCGCGACCACGCCGCGGCGGCGCAGAAACGCGGCGGTGGAGGCTCGGCGCCGGTGGTGCGGCGGGGTGCTCGCTAGGCCAGGATGCGAGAGGGGGCGGGGCGGCGGCGAGAGCGGGGAGGGGGAGTGATGTTGGGGGGAGAGATGGAGCGGGGCGAGAGCCGGAGCGGCGAGAGCGGAGCGGGCGAGTAGCGCAGCGGGCGAGAGCGGAGCGGGGCGAGATGGAGCGAGGCGAGAGCGGAGCGGGGCGAAGAGCCGGAGCGGGGCGAGGAGCGGAGCGGGTGCGAGAGCGGAGCGGGGCGACAGAGCGGAGCGGGGCGAGAGCGGAGCGGGGCGAGAGCGGAGCGGGGCAGAGCGGAGCGCGCGGCGAGAGCGGAGCGGGGCGAGACGAGCGGTGGCGAGAGCGGACGGGGCGAGACGGAGCGGGGCGAGAGCGGAGCGGGGCGAAGAGCGGCAGCGCGGGCGAGCGTGGCGAGAGCGCTGGGCGGCGAAGAATCGGGTACGCGCAACTTGTCCTCGATAGCCCTTGGCAGCACGCCCACCATCGGCTCCCCGCAAAATGTGAAACGAACTGAGCAAATCGGAATGCCTCCTTGAAACCATATGTTGTGCTCCTCGCCCCCCATTAACACGACTACGATCCGCAAAACGCCAGGATCATCATTGCTAGGACAAGCTCTTCAACCAACCTCGCCGCATAATTATTAAAGTTCTAAAAAACAATAGCTGATAACGCCTGCCTGGGATGTATCTGGAAGCAATGATAATAATGATTTATCGAAACCAATTTCCAAAGCACTCCAGTATTACTCTATGATAACTACTGTTGTTCTTTCGATCTAATATTTTGAAACGCTCTTTGAGACGGGAATGCGCGCTGTCACATCCTTCCCGTTTGATAATCTATTCTCATGCAATCGTAACGCTGTCCTTGTTTGCATGGTACCAGTGACTCGGATCGTCGCAAACATGTCAGCCACCTGATGTCGCTGCATTCTCTGCCTGCTTTGAATTTCCGTCGCCGGTGTCGCTCCCCACCTCTGCCCCCGCGTCTCTTCTTCCCGCTTATCCGCACCGCGGCGCGCGGCGACGCAAACGGTGCATCCACCGGTGCAGCGGCGCTCCGCGGCCGCCCTCGAGCGCGGCGTCCTGACGCAACGGCGACGCGACGCGACGCGACCAGAGCGCGACCAGACGGCGACCCGCGCCTTCGCGCGCGGGAACTCTCCTCCACCGAGGCGGCGCGGCCAGCGGCT